CCATTGGTTAGAGCCTGAACGACACCACGCCAGTGGCGTGGTTATTGGCGAAATTAGAGAGTCTTTTTTCTAATAATTTTATTGGTTTATTTCCTTGGTGTTTTCGGTGCCACTGAACTCAAAGACATGGCTGTCATCAGGCGGTATCAGTTGAGGTGTCAGTGAATATTTTTAGGTAACGCCCCACTTTTCTTCCCCCTTTCGTCTCTACCAAGTTACCACTTGCCAGACTATAAATGCATTAAAATAAGTGACAGTAGAATTAGTCCAGGAGATTATTATGCATTATGCGTGTCCCAGATACTTTTGGTGACGATGGTACCTACAGAATACTAAATTTATTCAATGAATAGCATACCTATGTCTTTTACGCCACATAATTTTTATTTAAATTGATTCAACTAGGTAGGTAGGTACAGTTGCGATCAAAAAAAAGTAGTACAAGAAAAATCTCCAAAATCTCCTGGTCTACATTAATTTAATTCATAACCAAAAATGACTTATTTTTGGTATTTTTCGACAAGTTTTTAACCTAGAAAGCTTCAGATGACAATATTTTGACATTTTTCCACCCGTTTTTAACCTAGAATATGTCATTGCGTGTCACCGGGAGCTCAAACTGTGGTTAATGGGATAATAATTTTTGAACTACTTTTTTTTTGATCGCAACTGTCCCTACTTAAGCATTTTTACATATTCAGGTATAGGAAATTTAGGATTCGAGGAAACTTAAGTAGAACTTTCCTTTTCTTGGTGTAGTAATAAACTACCGGGGCACAAAATGTATTAGACTATCCAAGATGCTGTCAAACTTAAAATAAAATGTCCGCCAAGAGGCACACAAACCCTTTGTTTATGTGTCATTCAATGTGTCATCAAATTTTTTTAAAAAAAATAGTGCTCATTGTTCATTCGCGTTTTGATGCTCAAAACTGTTGTTTTTAGTCGTATTTTTATCAATGTTAGAAATAGTGCATTTAAGTAGTCTGCCAACACATCAACAGCATAGTCAAGAAGATTCAAGATACCTATCCTAACTGAGATATCGTCCCATCCAGAAAATTTTCTATTTTTTATACTCAGTTTCTGAGCAATCGTACACTAGTATATAAATTAATAGGGCTGTTCGCACAGCAATCACAAACCAGTCAGAGCGAACTTCATTGGTTGAAAACAATCAGAAACAGTCAGAAAACTAGTTTCAACCAATGAAATTCGCTCTGACTGGTTTGTGATTTCTCTGCGAACAGACCTAATATTATCTGCTTTCAAATTGGAAGCACATATCGCACCCTTGCTTCAAAAGTGACACAACTCAAAAAATGGGCTTTTTGAGTTATTGATGCCAATTAATTAGACAAATTGCGTTCTCTCGATCAACTAAAGTGTATTAAATTAGCTTTTCGAGTTGACCGCGCTTGATGGCGCTTGTGTCAGTTTTAATGATCCATTCAGGGTAAAACTGTTTTCAGAAAAGTGACACATTATTGACATTATTAGTTATGCCCCGGCTTCCAAGATAGGTGGATGTACGTCCTGCTCTACAAAAACGACGTATTTTGAGTTGTGACGTTCTTGTTGAGTGATATACAGAGTGAGTTTTATGTATGGAAACGCCCAATTATCTCAAAAACGGCTTGCTCGATTTTTATAAATTTTGGTATGTGAGGGTATTGTTATATGGCCGATATTATCGTGCCATTTACATGGTTGTCAGATCATTCGATTTTTGGCAACTATTAGGAACTTTGTTATTTCAAATGGATCACCCTGTATATTTTTCAGTTTTCGTAATCCCTGAATAATACTGAATATTTTTCATGAAATGTTTCCTATACCCAAATGCCTTAATTTAGGAATTATAGCTACATTTACATTAAAAACCGCAAAAGTTGAAATAATTCATTGGCTTGTCCCGCGTGATGAGAGCTCGTCGCGGGAACGTCTCGTCATGTCTGTGCACACCTTAAGATCTCTATGACTACAAAAATAATAGCTTTCACGTTTCAGTAAATTATTATTTGTCAGTTTTCATTGAATACCATAATGAATCGTTCATCTGAAAAAAAAAAAACGAATTAAGATTTTAATTTAATTTAATTTTATTAGGATATGGTTGTATGCGTAGAAGTCCACAAGATAATTTATATCCCAACCGAAATTCCATTACAAAATCTACTGTGAGTAAGCTGGTAAAAAAGTTTACCCAAACTGATGCAATGAAAGATTTACCCAAATCTGGGCGCAGGAAAACTAAATTAACTGAAAACAATAGCTATCTTAATATTACTTTTTCATGGTTGGCTCACACACAAACGGAAAATCCTTTACCACTCAACGAGCGGCGTGTACACTGAGATGTCGATGGACATTGCGCTGTAGGTTATAGTTTTCGAGAAAAGTATTCATGCCTTTGGAAGTTCATTCCAGAGCTAGGCAGCCCTCCAGACCAAATTGACTTCTGAACAGTGACGTCCTAGGTGTTCGCAGCTGAATTGTATGTTCATGAGCTGCTTGTGTTGACGAGTGTATCTGTTTGGTACAACTCTGGGCAGAGTCACAAGTGTCAGTTAATTCGAGCACCTGCTGTAATGATATCGATAGAATAGTGATAGGTCTACCACTTTTTCCCGAGGTTTATGGCTATTAATGGTATTTGGTCAACTCCAGGTCAGCAACAGTTTTCGAGGGATGCTCTATAGAGCGCCCCTAGCTTTTGTGCTGGTGCCTTGGCACTCGACAGGAGCTATTAATTGATCACTTCTCCGAACTGTTTTTTTGCCTTTTTTTCTTCTTCTTCGCCATTGGTCTGCTTACAGTGGTTTCTAGTCGTGAGAATGTATTGAGATTTTAGGCTGTCGGATTACGATGCCATTTGCAATAAGCAGCATTTTTATAATTTCCCGCTGTTGAGCAGTTTTTATTGAACCATGGTTTGATAGCTAGTTCACAGGTTGCGGAGTTGGGATTGTGATCTGATGAACCCAACGAGGGTTGAAAAATCTAAATTTATCCAACCCATTACAGCAGCTGCTCAAAATGTTGTCCGTTGACTTCCAGACAACAAGCCATGCGATTTTTAAAACTTTGCAATACATTTTGCAACATCCCTGTCTGCTCTATTCTTCTTATCTCGTTGGTGATTCTATCTCTCAATTCCTCAATATTGAGAGGTTTTGTTTTATAAACAGTGTTTTTCAAGTGGCCCCATAGGAAATAGTCTAGAGGATTCATGTCGGGTGATCGAGGAGACCATTCGATAGATCCACGCCTTCCAATCCATCTTCCGGGAAACAAACGATTTAGGTATTGTCTCACCTCACGGGCATAGTGGGGTGGAGCTCCATCTTGTTGCAGCCAAATATTGTTTTGGGGAATATTGTTATTGTCTGAAAGTTTCAATAAATTATTTTTTTTTTTAATTTTAAAGGCAATTGAAAATACTCACTTGGATTTGGAAATAACCGAGCCAACTCAGGTATAATACTATCTTCCAATAAACGTAAATACGCGGGACCATTCAAGTTTCCTTCAATAAAAAACGGTCCAATTATTCTGTCGCCTATTATTCCAGCCCATACATTCAGTTTCTCGGGATATTGGGTGTGGGATTCACGCATCCAATGAGGATTGTTACGAGACCAGTATCTACAATTATGCCGATTTACGTTGCCATTGATAAGAAAAGTGGCCTCATCGCTAAACATAACATTATTTAAAAAATTTGGATTGTTTGGATCGTAACATTTTCTCATCATTGTATCGGCAAACTCCTCACGTCTATCAAAATCGTCATCTGACAACTCCTGAACCAACCTCACTTTGTATGGATGGAATTTATTACCATGCAGAATTCTCATCACGGTTGTTTGAGAAACTTCAAGTTCCCTGGATATTTGCCTAGTACTCAAGTGAGGATCGTCTTCTAACATGACACAAACATCTAGAGATTTGTTGTCAGTTGATTTAGTCTTCCTGCGCCCTGATTTGGGTAGATCTTTTACTCCAGCAGTTTGGGTAAACTTTTTAAGCAATTTACTAACAGTTGATTTTGTAATGGGATTGCGGTTGGGATATAAATCATTGAAAATATCACACGTTTCTTGTTGACTTCTACGCCTATCACCATATCCCAATATCATCAAAATCTCAATTCGTTCTTTTTCAGATAAACGATTCATTATCACATTCAATGAAAACTGACAAATAATAATTTACTGAAACGTGAAAGCTATTATTTTTGTAGTCATAGAGATCTTAAGGTGTGCACAGACATGACGAGACGCTCCCGCGACGAGCTCTCATCACGCGGGACAAGCCAATGAATTATTTCAACTTTTGCGGTTTTTAATGTAAATGTAGCTATAATTCCTAAATTAAGGCATTTGGGTATAGGAAACATTTCATGAAAAATATTCAGTATTATTCAGGGATTACGAAAACTGAAAAATATACAGGGTGATCCATTTGAAATAACAAAGTTCCTAATAGTTGCCAAAAATCGAATGATCTGACAACCATGTAAATGGCACGATAATATCGGCCATATAACAATACCCTCACATACCAAAATTTATAAAAATCGAGCAAGCCGTTTTTGAGATAATTGGGCGTTTCCATACATAAAACTCACTCTGTATAGTATTTAAATTGTGTTATTTGGACTTGTGTCAGTTTTGATGGAAGAGAAGGCGTTATCAATTTGTTCCATTTGTAATTGTGACATTTTTGAAGAATAAGGTAGGTGAAATAGCTATTTGAATTTTGAATTATGACATTTTAGATGAATTAAATTAAAGAATCCCTCGAATGCGTAGTGTAGATTACTACTATACTACTGAATATTACTTACACTTTAACATTACCTAGGTATTATTGACAGCATTAGGTACTAAAAAAATAGTAAACAGTAGGTATGTGAAAACACTAGACTTGAATTTACCTTACAGGTTTTCGCCACGGGCAGCATGTCGTCGGCATGAGTAAAGAAAATTTTAGCTATGGCATCCAAAGCCTACGACGAAAATAATCCTACATCTCTGCCAAATACAACATGCTTCACTCAGGTAAACAAACAAAAAATTATTATACTTACCTGCATTATTGGGCTTTTGGCGCAATCAAAAAATTCTTTTTGAAAAATTAATGATACTTACATTTATTTGATCACAGAGATTTCAACCAACACTCACAAAAATAAGTCTACATTATTCAGAAAAAATGTTACATTTTTTTTTAAAGTTACAATAAGCATTTTTATTGTAGGAGACCATTGTCGAAGATACAAGTCTGGATGAAATTTCAGATGATTTCACTCCAACTTCCGAAAAAAATGTCTTTTTCACTCAGAAAAAATGCTCAGATTCAACAGAACCGACTGGTTTTTCTTCTGACTGTCAAAATAGTACTCTCTCTTATGACGGAATCAAGAATGGAGTAGTTAACAAAAGTTGTGTTACCCAAAATGCCATAGCGCAAACCAGTTTGGCAATAGAAAGTGAAGAAGGTTCTGAAGGTCCGCTCTTCAGTTTAGCTCAGGTAAAATCACGACCGAGCCAAATAGCAAGCAATTGATTTAATGTCCACAACTAAAACTTTTTGAATTTATAGGCACTTGATTTCGAACGTTCACCTGCGGCTCAAACTCTACCTGACATCATTGAAAATGACGAGAATGTATCAGGAAATTATTCTCAAAAAACCCTTCATATTGATGCGAATTCCTCTGAGCCTCAGAATGAAATACCCCACCCTTTGCCCAATACGGATACCACTGAGCAGCACCAAGAGCCGACTAAGGAAAATGCAGAGGAGCCAGGTTCTTATGAACCGAAGCCAGGTTGTTCTGCGGAGAAGCCAAGCTCAGAATACTCTGTATCATACGATGATGAACGCCCTACAATTTTACGATTAACAAAAAGGAATTATTATGTTTCACCACTCCATAGCGACGAAAGTGATATTGACGACTCTGATGCCGACCCTAATTTCACGGTCGATAGTTCTCCAGAGGCTAGACGAAGTTCACACGATACTGACAAAGAAAATATTCAAAGCGATGAATCTGTGTCAGCAGAACCAGATAATACGAATAAAGGAAAGAAAAGAAAACTGAATGCACAAGAGTGGGGAGTGAAAAAGACGAAGCTACTTCGAAATTCCGGTAAGGCCTATACTTCCTGTTCCAAATCAAAGAAGAAGTTTCCTGAGAGAAAACTTCGTCCGGCTTGTACGGAAAAATGTAGATTAGGTTGTTCTGCAAAAATCAGTGAGGCAGTAAGAGAAAATATTTTTCGCACCTATTGGGCCCTAGCCGATTTAGAAAAGCAGAGAGAGTTTATTTCTTCCCATACTGGAGATATAAAGCCAAAATACCGATATTCAAGTACTCAGAATTTCCGGAGGATGAATACAGCATTTTACTTCGACGTTAACAGTAATCGTATCAGAGTTTGTAAGAAATTCTTCAAGGCAACACTTGATATAAACGATAGGCCTATTCGCACAACTGTGATGAAGAAAAGTGATACTGGGTTTCTGTTTCAAGATAGAAGAGGTAAACATGGAAAGCAACCGGTTGTTGCTCCAGAAATAAAAGATAGTGTGAGGAGATTTATAAGCGCAATACCTAGAATAGAATCTCACTATCTTAGAGCACAAACAACTCGGGAATACATAGAAGGAGGAAAAAGTTCAGCAGATTTGTACAGAGACTATAAGGAAGAACGTGAGAGGCATCATTTACCAATAGCAAATTCAGTTATGTTTAATCGAATTTTCAATGGCGAATTTAATATTTCCTTTTATGCCCCGAAAAAAGATCAATGCGATCAGTGTGAATCATACAAAAACTCAAACCAAGAAGGAAAAGCTAAGCTGGTTGATTCTTACAATCTCCATTTGGAAGAAAAAAAGCTCTCTAGGGAACAGAAGAGTATTGACAAAAATATAGCAGATAATAATACCCATGTAGTATGACTTACAAGCAGTATTGCCTTTGCCAAAAGGACAGGTTTCTTCCTTCTATTACAAAAGCAAACTTAATTGCTACAGTTTCACTATAAGTGACTTGTATACAAAAAACGTGGATTGTTATTTTTGGAACGAGACAGAAGGTAGACGTGGTGCAGTGGAAATTGGCAGCTGCATTCTTCATTACTTGAAATCGCTTGCTGAAAATCGAGAGACGGAAGACCTGAACGTAGTATTTTATCCCGACAATTGCTGCGGCCAGCAAAAAAACATGTATATACTTGCTGCCTATTTCTACGCCATAACCAACTATAAGATACGAAGCATAACACATAAGTTTTTAATACACGGCCATTCCCAGAATGAAGGTGACAATGTACACAGCGTCATAGAGAAACAAATCAGACGACACCTCAAATCTGGTCCAATTTACGTTCCAGAACAATACGCCACCCTAATTCGAACAGCGAAGAAGAATGGTCCTCCATATAGAGTTCACGAATTGACGTTTGAAGACTTTTTTGATCTCAAAATTCTGCAAGAAGAACTCGGCAGTAATTTTAACATGAATACTGACAAAGCAAAGGTGAAGTGGCACGACATAAAAATTATTCGGGTTGAAAAAGATGAACCGCGTTATAAAGATGATAACTTTGAGATGGTAGACGTTCTCAAAGCAAAAAAGACTCGATCCCAAGATAGGTTCGACTCAAAACAGTTAGTTCGAGCCTATGGAAAAAATTTAACGCTAACCGAAAACAAGAAGCGTGACCTACAAGAACTTGTTACAAAAAATATCATTCCTAAAAGTTATTATAACTCATTTTCTAAAAATGTTTTTGAATTTTAGTAAGTTTCGATAAGTCTAAATAAAAAATTTTGGTTTTTTGCGTTTATTTTTCGATTTTTATTTATTCCTATCTGCTAGATTGGTAATATTTCACTGTTAGTAAATAAACTAAATATTGATAAATAAATTTGGGCTGCTTCTAATTATTTTCCTTACCGTATGTACAAAAAAAATTTATATCACAAACAGATTGAAAGTGAAAATGTTATATCCAGTAAATCTTCAAAAGTGTCCTTTTGTGAAAAATCATCAACAAAAGTGTCTTAATTCAAAATATTTTTTATCAAATATATATCAGGAAACATCAAAAGTGGCATAACTCAAAAAATTTAATTTTTCGGAATTTCAAGGACACTTTCTAATTATAATCAACTGATTACCCGTCACGGCTTCGCCCGCGATTTTTCAACTTATTAGGCTGTGTAGGTATTATCTATGGTATGTGTCTATGAAAAATGTTGTGTTTGACAGTGCTTTGGCAGTATGCTTTGTTTTCGATGACGACAAACCATCGATTACTTCTGGGGCTGCCTCTTGATATTACCCTACTCAGTTCAGATAATGACACCCTCCAGTCATAATCTGCGTGTTTGTATAATCGTCTTCAATGGCCTGGTTGATTATATTATTATTATTTACAATTTATATTAAATGCTGATGCCGCGCAGTTGGTGAGGTGACTGATTGACATGGTTTCGGAGTCTTACTGAACGGATTGTGCTTATTGTGATTATGCAATGTTATGTATGTACGCTTGTTGGTTGTTGTGCCAATATCTTTGATGGTGCCATGAAATGATTTATGTATTCAAGTCGCTAGTTGGTTCTGCTATGAAAGGATTTTGCAAAAATTTAATTTTAAACAGCGAAGTTGTTACGTGTAGTGTAGACATGTTTCACATATGCGGCGAGCTAAAATCCGATTGAAGCCAAATTTCGTAAAACTGAAAAATTAGTTTTTATATATTCATCTCAGAAGTATTTCAGAAAAAGAATGGCGTCGATATCTTATTTTATTATCAAGTTATGACAGCTTAAATGAATTTGTAACGAAATTTTTTGTGTAACCTTTTTTGCCCCTTCCACTTTGAATTTCAAAAAAAGCATGAATTTGTTTTTAGGTATTTATATAAAGAATATTTTAGTACAAAAACGAAGTCGATATCTTAATTAGAACCCGAGAAAACTGAAAAAATGTGAATTTTTAAAAAAATTGTTTTTAACCCTTTAAAATTAAAATTTTTCAAAATCCTTTCTTAGCACACCTACAAATACGTAACAGAACATATCCTGAAAATTTCATGTCTCTAACTTAAATAGTTTTGGCTGGGCGTTGATAATCAGTCAGGACAAGCTCTTTTATATATATAGATGACAGGATGCTTCTGAATGACTATGCAATTCATAAAAAACCTTATTTTACCTTAATCTATTTTAATAAGTTTTAGAACAGTTCTTCTCAATTTCTGGAAAACTATCTTTTTTGAGTTGTGTCACTCTTGAAGCAAGGGTGCGATATGTGTATTTCTTAATTTTTTTTTCGCGTAGGTCGTTACTCTTTTTGTTTATTGGATGCGGATGACAAACCTTTCATTGTAAAATTTGTTTTTTATTTAAAGATAATTCCCCATGTCAAAAATTTAGTAACTATGTTGGCAACACAGGCCTTTTCTACATAAAAAATTTGAAAGCATTGACAATTTTACATTGTATTGCCAACATAATGTCATTTTGACTTTTATCTTTAAAAAAAAAACAGACTTTAATAAATCTTCCTTGCCTGTTTCATCGTCTTTCTGTAGATGCTCCTGTATCCATTATTTAAAGTAGGTCATAAAAATATACCTATTATCAATATTAAGCGCAAACTATCTTAAGGAATGAAGACACCTAAATTTTCTAGAAGCAATTCTCAAACCTTTTCTGATACAATGCTTTTTCTTTTTCGATTTCAACTTGACTAACGGAAATGCATGGTTAAAAATTTCAATATCCTCACAATGAAATGAATGCAGAGCATTTACCTTCAGCAAAATCGTTTTCCAATAAAATCTAGAGCAAACTTGAAAAAACAATACAAATCAAAGCACAACATTTGACGGTGGAGTTGCAACAAATAAATATTTTCACATTTTAAGGATAGGTGAGGTCCTGCGTGTCCAAGTGGAATGTAGGTAGAGCAATCTTGCCCAAACAATAGGGATTCCGTAATTGGGTAGAAACGGCCAAAAATTGAGACGCACACAATAGAAAATGAGTATTTATAATCTGTGGTAATGACGTTATGGTTTGTGTTTGTGTCAAATGTTTGTGTGCCTCTTGTCGGCCATATTTTGTCACGTGTTTTGGATAGTCTAATTTTTTAGATAATTGATCGGAAAATTTCATGTTCTGGTCGATTCTCAGGATGCAAAACCATAATATGGATGTCGTAAGTATTAATGAAAGGAATTATGAAGGGTTGGTTGCTACGTTTGGAGTAGGTAGGTACCTACTTTAATAAAGGGATATTATTCATACCTACCAAATTTGGAGAAAATCCACTGGTTAAAAACGTTAAAAAGTTATAACGTAAATTGTTAATTTTTCCATTTTTCCTGGATACTTTTAATTGATCATTGATGCTCATTTCACGTAGGGTGCTGTAAGGGGGTAGAGTTCTTGTATAATTTATAAGGAAAATTATAATTTAAATTGTTAAATTTTTATGTAGGTACTAACCATTCTTCTTGGATAATTTTATTGAATCATCGATGCCGCTCTCACGTAGGGTGCTGTAAGTCACTATACCAAACTTGTCGGAACACTGTTAAAAACATTAGACCTAGGCCCGGTTTATTCATCTTCAGATAAACTTGCTGGAACTATCTGCAAGATAAATTTACCGTTCTATAATTCTATTCGTCGGCTGATAACTGGCTGACCAATGAGATTACAGATTGCGTCTTTATCCGTCAGATTGCTCACCTAACAGTTTATCAGAAGATGAATAAACTGACCCTTAATGTAAATTGTTATTTTTTTTATCTCATCCATTCTTTATTAGTGCTCTGGTGCTTTTTGTGGCCGATGGTGCTTGTCTAATTAGTCTAGGAAAATAGTCGAAAAATACATGTATTGCAAAAAAAAATTCCTACCCAAATGAACTTTTCAGGGATAATAGGGGGCGGGTGGGTGATCATAAAACCGAAAATATCAAACATTCACCCCTCTGGCGTTTTGCGCTATAGGGGTTGAAAGTGCGCCATTGGCGATTACTTGGTACCTATTGATTTTACAAAAAAATGTTTCAAATAAAAGATGTGCAACATTATTTGATCTACAATGTTTATCTAAAGATTTTTTTGATTAAGGGCTGTCTGTGGTCATAAGGGCCGTTTGAAATTTTATAATGGAAATGAAAAATTTTAACCAACGTGAAATATTTTTCAACAACACATACAACATTTTTGCTTTATGAAGTTTTTACTCACCCCCTGCCGTTTTTCAATAGGGGTAGTTTAAAGTTTTTTTAATTTTTTACAAAATAATTTTCTTAGTAAAAGTTTTATAAGATGACATTTCCTACAATTTTTCCTTATCAACTTTTTTTGTAACTCACCCCCATTCAGCGGGGGGGCACTTCCCTTAGGGAAATTTTAGTTTTTAGGGGTATATATTAATTTTTTTTTCTTTTCTCGCCTTTAGTGCATATAAAAAGGTGCAATTAACATTGTATTAAAAGGATTCTTTTTCCACCACCTTTTTGTTTTTATGGGTAGTTCGCCTATTTTCAACTTTACATGTGCATATTTTTGTTTATTTGTTTTTTTATGTTTTTATTTTTTTGTGTGTTTATTCGACGGTTTCTTACCTATTTATGACTTAACCTCACTTATTTATATAGTCTGCTTTGTCCGCAAAAATGTATATTTTTTTTTGACAATAAAGCAGATTTGATTTGATTTGATTTGATTTGATTTGATTTGATTTGATTTGATTTTATGTCATTTATGTAAAATCAACGGTAAAATGTAATTTATATGTAATTCATTAAGTTATACAGGTCTATGGTTGTTGGTATAAGTGTAACGTTGCTCCGATCTTGTTCAGAAAATGTTTGGAACTATATGTATAGAAGGAGCCATAACTATTTTTGGTGCACCCGCAGACTTCAGACTTGTTCTTCCTATAGCTGTTTCCGCATGTGCTAACCAAACATACGCCAGCAGGAGGCACAAGAAAATTTGGAACTCCTTGCTAGACAGCATCCTGCTCTGAAAATTGAAAGGATCAAAAACAAAATAATTTAGTTATAGAACTCATCTGGTTGAGGGATTTGGATTGACGAATAAAAAAATGTAGGACTAAAAAGCCTATAATACCAGGTGTCCCACTAAGGTCGGCCAGGTACGATATACCATAGACCTTACGGCTTCGGGATTTTTTTTTTCTTCACTAAATCGGCCAAGAGAAATTGATGGAAATTATTTTCAAGTTTCTAGGATGACTGCTAGGGGGCGCAATTACGATGATATAGCTAAAAATTCAACTTTTCTCAAGAAATCGCTATATTAAGATACTGTTTTAACAACAAAAATCAAAAGTTCATTAATTTTTGCGCCAGTTTGGTTATTAGGTTTTTTTTCGTATCTTCAGTAATAAGGGTGGGGGAAGCTGGTGAAATTTTTTTTTAGAAATTGCTGTATCTTCCATACCCCTCATTCAAACTCATTCAATTTGGGTTTATTTGGAAGA